AACTACTTTGATTCGGTTGTCTCTTTGTAGAGTTTCCTTTGTATGTGTATGTGTGTGTGAAAAGTCATTTAGGAAAATTACACAATCATTTGTGTAGTTTCTGTGTTTATTTTTGTTTTGTTTTTTTGGCTCTCAAGTAGTTACCAAAATAAAAAAGAAAATATGGCTGAGAATTTAAGTTGTTTTGCTTTTTTAGCCATTTAATTTTCATTATTTTCTTAACGCTGACGCTGGCTGCGCAGCTGGCGTCGGTGTTGGCGTTGGCGTTGCGCCTGCGCGCATTTCAAAATTGCTTTTGGAAAATTTGTTTTTATATGTTTGTTATTGTTGTGGGTTTTCAGTGGTGCGTTTTACTGTTGTTATTGTTGTTCTACTTACTAGGTGTACGTGTGTGTGTGTGTGTGTGTGTTTGTTGATGATGCAATGACTCTGCGCTTGGCAGCTGTTGTCTATTGCCGTCTGTGTGTGTCTCGGTCTTGGTCGCTGTTTCTGTTTCTGTTCTACGGCTCAGCCCCCGTCGGGATTCAGAGGTTTGTTTATAAGGTCCACTAGTTCGAGTATTTCCTGCACTTCCGCAAGTCTCGGATGCAGAGCAGCAGTCACAGCAGCCACTACAGTTGATTCCCAGTGGCAAACAATGCCCTCCGATTGTTGCCTGCCCGCAGTTTGCAGCTTTTCAAACATGCCTCATTCACTCCCGCTCGCTGTCTACCTGTCTGGACGACAGGTGCTGGGGACCCACAGTTACACTTCCTCATCCACTTCCGGTGCCAAAAACCTCACTGAATGCCCGATTAGATATATGTGCGAAGCTCTTGTCATGCATCTAATTTAAGACAGAGCAAAAGTGTGCGATATATTGTTAATCTTATCACAACAATTCATGACATGTCTTAGCCCATTCGTCCTTTCACCCAACTTTCAGAACCCGCTTGTTGTAAAAATTTGCGACCAGAAGCTTATTATTTTATTTTGGTGACCTTCTTATGAACTTGACGGCTTTTTGGACTACGTGCGTGCAGTCATGATGACGGGGATTCCTATAGATAACAATATATATATATATTCATTGGTACTGCTCTCGTCTGGCCTTAGACTTTGCTCTTTCATATCTTTCTTCAGCTCTGAGATCTAATAATTGGTAGTTTTCGGTCAGATAGATAAGAATAATTGTGTTAACTTGGTATTAACCCGGTATCACCCTAACGCCCCTCTTTTTTATACACCAATCACCCTCCCCTCATCACCTTCCGCCATCCCTCTTAAAATCAGGCTTTTGCTGACGAAGCGCCAGCATTGAGGTTTCAGGTTTTCTTACAATGCGGCACTTGTCACCAGCTCTGGGGCAAGGCGAGGCGATCGTTTTTTGTTTTTTTTTTTTTTTTATTATTTGCCGCTTGGCTCCGCTTCTTTTATTGTTATGCGCGGTGCGTAGAACAAGTGGAAGCTTTGTTTGACAACAACAACAACAAGAAGAACAACAATTATAATAACAACAATAACAGCATTAGCAGCAACTGGTAAAAACGTTAAGTTTACACGACTTCCAACCGGCGACAGCTTCACCGGACAACTTGGTCTCCTTCTTCTGTGTTGGGGGCTTGACATTTGACAATAAAGCAAATAATCATGGGAAAAAGCTGAGCTGCCAGCTCACTCTGAAAACACCTGTGTGTGTCTGTGAGTGTGCGAGTCTGTCGATGTTCGTTCTCCTCTCCGTAAAACACTCTTAAAATAAAAAAAAATAACCTAAATACTAAATGCTAAATCACTAATATATCCCAAAAATAAATCCCTTTTAATCTCTAACCTAATCTAAACGATTACAGGTGACTAATTTGACAAGCTATTTGATTGATATAAATATATTATATATATATATATATATATATATATATATATTTAAGTGAATAATGAACAGTTTTACGTATGTTATTTCTTATCAGCTTTTCAGATAATAACTCCATTCGATTTTAGTTCGCATAAATAGCTGCAGAATTTAAAGCGAAATTTCAATTGGCGCACGAAAGGCCATTAGAGCGTGCTTAGTTCCGAAAGTGTCTTGCGTTTCCTGAACAAACAATTTCTGTTCGTGGTGTTGCTAAAAAGCTCTACAACCATAACAATAATTAATTGTAAGTAAAGGTGAAGATTTTTAATAAATTTTTATTTATGAGCACTTTGATGAACTGTGGGTATTTATTAAATATTATTTAAATTATGCTGGCTATAAAGTAAACGTTATGTAAGGTAAGGAATTTTAATATTGTCGGGTATTGCGTAACATGTTACGTTTTAGTGTGTCATGCAACTGCCAAATAATATTAATATAATACTTACATACTTAATATTCCTCTCTCGAAAAGAGGCTAATTAAACGTAACTTCTGATATAAAAATTAAATAAATTTAAAATTTTTACGTTCAAATTCGAATAATAAATCGTTTGATTCATTGGATTTCACATACATAACGTTGCTTCTAATTCTATTCTAAAATAAATAAATAATTACGTCTATAAAATACATTGCAAAAATCAGCAGTCCCTTTTATTTAATTTCGCGCTCTTTAATTCAAATTGATTAAATGCATTCGAACTTTTTGCATGGCCGTGTTCGGCGAGCGAACTACGTATAACCATGCAACATCAAACCTGGACATGGAACACAACTACAACCTAAGTTAACAGTCTAACAGTGCCATTCGGGGCTTAACATATCCATTTTGAGTATAACATACATCTGAGAAGTTTCTGTTAATTTTTATTCCAATTTTGCATTCATTTTGAATTATATTTTTCACAATTTGCTATTAAAATGGCCAAAACCTACTTCAATATAACATTAGAATATAAATGTAAATTCAAAAGCTGAAATAAGGCGCAAAGTCTGTGAATAAATAATAGATGCACTTACTGCAAACGATCGTATATGCTCGGCTGGTTGACTGGTTACGATGCGATGGCGGTTCGATTTATGCAGCGCAACGTAAGCGTTTGCGTGCCGTTACGTTTAGTGTTAGTCCGCTGCAAACACTCAACGGCGACGGGTCAGATACGCGCGTGTCGGCAAACCGCAAACCGAGAACTGATAAAAAAATAAAAAAAAACATATAGAGTCGAGTCAAATGCAGACCGAGACACTGAGGCATCGTGTGTATGTGAATTTCAAATTGAATTTAATTTTATTTCATTTTCTGTGCGGTGCGTGAAACAAAAACAAAAATATATTATAAACAAAAACAAAAACAAAAAACGACGAAATTTTTATTCACGAAAATAGGGAATAAAAAATATATAAATAAAAATAAAGCCGAACGACTTTATGAATAATACAATTGCTTTCGCATATCACGATCAACATCGATTGCTGAGTGCAGGTGAAAAGCTTGAAGAATTTCATCAGATTTCGATTATCGAGCAAGGACTTTCAATTTTCAATTGAATTTCGAGCTGATATTTATTGATTGATAAGCCTTTCGCACAATTTGCCGAGTGACAAAAATAAAAGAAAAAATAAACTTTGCACAAACCATAACAACAGAAGCGGCGGCAACAAGAACAACAGTATAAACTGCAATTGCCACAGCCACAGGCAACATCAACTGCTCCGTCCAGCAAACAACTGACATCGTCTGTCTACATCTGATACACAAATATATATACTTATAATTCACATATATGCATATGTGTCTATATAAAAAACGATCGGGATCGATTTAGTGTGTGCGTGTGCAATATACATGCTGCGACGATCCTCCTATATAATCGGCAACAACACACAGACACATATACACAGAGCATATATAATAATATATATATAAAATATATATCTAGGCAGAGTAGAAGATATATGCGTATGAGCTGAACGCGGCGCACTCTGCTCTGCTTTTTTCTTTTATAATTACTTTTGTCTAAAATTAGAAAACGTGTGTGTTGTCTTCGTCGGGTGTGTTGTACGTGCGTGTGTGTCTGTTTGACTCTGTGTCTGTGTGTCTGCTATATCAACATCATCATCAGCATCAGCAGCATCATCATCATCGTCATCAGCGTCATCAGCGACAACAGAGTCAGCGCAAGTGTGTGTGTATGTGTGTGCCAGAAAACACTTCACAACAGTGAATCAGGCAGCGACTACGGCAACGCCAACGGCAACGACTACGGCTACGGCTACGTCTACGGCAACGGCAACGGCTACAGCAACGACTACTGCTACGGCACGTCTATATAGATAGATCGCGTATACGGCAAGTCAAACATTAGCATTATCGAAAAAAAAGCAGCAAAAAGTGTATCTCACAGCTACGCGCGCAGCGAGGATTACAATTACAACAGCAGCGCCAGCAGCAGCGACGCGAACGAAGCGTCGCATTGCACGCACGAGAAGACGAAGCTGCCAATCGGCAAAGAGCCGACGGTAGCCGAACAGCTTGCCGAGTCGCACACGAAACGCGCGCGCGTGAAAAACGTCGTGAAAAACGCGCAAAGCGACAACAAATAGTAAAACGAAACAGCAACAGCAACAGCAGCAGCAGCAGTGGCAACAACAACAACAACGGCAAAATAGATCCACAGCATAAAAACTTTAAATCAAACGCCACGCGACGACCTTAAGTCTACGTCCATTCAAGAGGTAGGGGGTGGGCGTGGCCATAGCTCAGTGCGTCGACTCCAAGGCGCTCAAGTGAAACGCGAACGCGAACGCGAGCGTTAACGCGAACGAATAAAATAAAATCAAATAATATTCTAAACAAAATAAATGCAACAACAGCAAGCGAACGAACAAGCAAACCAGCAACAACAGCAACAGCAACAACAACGACAGCGACGACAATAATAACAGCAACAATAACAAATACAAACAGCAATTTATTTATTTAAAGATATACAAATACATTTTTTGCATTGCCAAAGCAGACGATCGGGCCAAAATGAGTCACCAGCAACAGCAAGAGCAGCAGCAACAACAGCAACAGCAACAAGAACAGCAGCAGCAACAGCAACAGCAACAGCCAAAAAAGTTCTCAAAGTGCTCATAAATATTATGCTAGAAATTGTTAAACATTTACTGTCTCTACCCCACTCACTCAACGGGTCTCTCTCTCTTTCCGTCTCTCTCGCGTCGCGTCTCTCTGTTGCTGTCCCTCAAAATGCTACGAAATTATCGAAAGTATTTGCAGGATAAACGAAAATACGACAAGGCACAGCGACGACGCAACGACGGCTACATTTGCCAGCAATAGACAGACAAAAGCAAAAACAGCAGCAACTAGCAACAGCAGCAACAGCAACTACTACGATAAGCGATATACAGCAATCGATAGTTGATTTGTAAATAAAGCTAGGGCAACAGCAACAACAACTTTGGAGGACGCCATGTATGCGCAACATGTGCGCAAATGGAGTCTAAAAACGCAACCGAAACTAATGTCATTGATATCGATAGCAATCTTCGTCAGCTACATGTTGCTATTGATCACATGTGCGCCGACGATAACAACAGCTGCAGCGGCAGCAGCAACAGCAATCGAAAATCAACACCAGCAGCAGCAAAGATCATGGGAATCAGAAGAAAGCAGCTACTACATTGCGCTGCCACCGCAGCAGCAGCAGCAAGAGCGGCAAGAGCAGCAACAGCAGCAACAGCTGGCGGACAATGGCAGCGGGAGCAGTGAAAGCGTCGGCAGCAACATCGACAACAATATCTTAAGTAGGCTGCTTAGCCGGCCCAGCAATAGTCTTAGTAGCACTAGCAACATTAAGTTAAGGCCAGCAACAGTATTCGACGTAGGCAGCGATAGCGATGCGGCTGTACAACAACAACAGCAGCAACATATTGCTGCGGTGACAACGCAGCAGCAGCAGTCACAGCAACAAGTTCCAAATATGCTAATAAATAGTCAAAGATATAAATTATTAAACAATGGCATGTCGCCGAGCAGTAAAACACGACGTTATGCGCTCCAACAGCAACAGCAGCAATTGCAGCAGCAACATCAGCACCAGCAGCAGTTACAGCTTAGCAGCTATGCGCGGCAACTGCAGCTGCAACAGCAAAATGTTACCGCCTATAACTATAGCAGCAGAGTTACAGCCGCAGCGCAACGTTATCTCATTGAGTCCTATGAAGTGCCAGAGAGCAGCCAGGAGCTGGCGGCGCGCAATCGTCGCGACTTTGGCAGCGACAATGGCCAGCGGAAGTATCGCGGCCATCGACAGCAGCAGCAGGAGGCAAAGCGCGAATATCGCCTCCAACGGCAGCATCAGCGTCAACAGCAGCGGCAGCAGCAGCGACACCAGCAGCGACGAAAACATCCACGAAAACATCGGAATAAGCTGGGCGCTGGTCGCTACTGTTCCGCTCGGGAACCCGACCAGCTGGCGTATGCGGCGCCCACAGTGATTATGGGCGTGTTTATCTCGAGGACGGCCAATCGGCCGGCTAATTTCTCGGCAACAATGAAGGTGTTGCAAGTGTACAAGAAGCAGCGGGACTTGCAGCTGCCGCAGCTCGTTCGGTTTCAGTTCGCGCAGCGCAACGGAAGCGGCGTGTGCGACATCTACAGGGAGCGTCCGCAGGTGCGCGGACTGATCCATTTCAATCTGGAGCAGTCCTCCGACATACCCTACATGATGTTTGTGCAGCAAACGAATCCCGGCAACTTCTCCATATTGGGCCAGCCCATTCGCGCGACGGATAAGGTGCGTGAGTCAGTCCAAGCGGCTGTGAACGAAAATTATGGTGAGTACCTAAACGAATTCTTTAAAGATATATTTATATATACAGTCTGTCAAGAAACACTTTACACAGTGGAAAAAATCTCAATTTTTTGACTTTATGTAAAAAAATAAAGAGTTTTTGTTTAATTTAACTAATTTTTTTTAATGGTTACCTGTTTAATAGGTATTTTTAAATCAAATTATAGAAAACAGAAACAAAAACAATAATGGTGAAACTTAAAAAACAACAAAAACTTAGATTACTCATATTTTACACTGTCAAGAAACTCTTTACACATTTTGTTCTCTTCATCTGTTTTGCTCTGATTCTAAGAAATAACGGGGCTTTACCGTTAACTATGCCTTTAGAATCTGTCTATGCATCTCTATTTTTGTGTTTATTTTTCACTTTGTGCGAAATTTGGCTGAGTACACATATAAAAGCAATACAAATTTTGATTAATAATGCCCGGAAAGAGATTAAGCTTCGATGTTGTCCAATTGATCTTCTACAATCGGCAGTTGGGCAAATCAGTTCCAGAATTAGTGGAAATGTTTTCTGTGTCAAGAAAAACCATATACAACGTTCTCAGTCGCGCGGAAATGAGGGAAGACTTGAGGCAAAGGGTGTGGGTGGCCGAAAAAAAAAGATATCTGATCGGGCAAGCCGCCTTATGATGCGAAAGATCAAATCAAATCCCCAAATCTCGACCAGAACTCTTGCCAAGGAGCTCAAAGAAGAGTGTGGTGTGGATGTGTCCCACGAAACGATCCGTCAGGCTATTCTACGGCATGGGTATTCTTTGAAAGTGGCACGTAAGAAACCCTTGCTGTCGTCGACAAATGTGGAAAAGCGCTTCTGTTTTGCTCTTACTATGCTTAGGCACCCAGAGGAGTATTGAAAGGACGTTATATTTTGCGACGAGACCAAAATAATGTTGTATTACAACGAAGGTCCGCCCAAAGTATGGCGAAAGGTCTCTAAAGCTTACGACAAAGCGAATATCATTCCAACAGTCAAATTTGGAAAGCTGTCGGTTATGGTTTGGGCCTGCATTTCCAGCCAAGGAGTCGGTGAATTGGTATTCATTGAAAACACAATGAATGCCGAGCAATATTTTTTAACCAAATTTGGCTTTATTAGTGAAAATCGGCCAACTTTTAAATTTTACCAAGACAACGATCCAAAACATAAGGAGTATAATGTACGTAATTGGTTGCTTTACAACTGCGGAAAGGTCTTGGATACACCACCCCAAAGCCCAGATCTCAACCCAATCGAACATGCGTGGTCTTATTTAAAGCAAAAGGTTGGAAAAAGGAATCCAACCAACCGTGGACAGCTAAAAGCTTTCGTACTGGAAGAGTGGCAGAAGATACCCCTAGAGTATATTCAAAACTTGGTCAACTCAATGAAAAGAAGACTCCAACATGTACAGAATGCTAAGGGGGGCCATACTAAATATTAAGTATTTCAAAATTAGTTATAATTAGTTTTACATTTTAAATTTAGAACAATATATAAGAAGTGTGTAAAGAGTTTCTTGACAGTGTAAAATATGAGTAATCTAAGTTTTTGTTGTTTTTTAAGTTTCACCATTATTGTTTTTGTTTCTGTTTTCTATAATTTGATTTAAAAATACCTATTAAACAGGTAACCATTAAAAAAAATTAGTTAAATTAAACAAAAACTCTTTATTTTTTTACATAAAGTCAAAAAATTGAGATTTTTTCCACTGTGTAAAGTGTTTCTTGACAGACTGTATGTTAGTCCGATACAGTTTAAGAAAATATGAGAGAGTCTGAGTCACATTAGAGTTGAACTTTGTTAGACACTCAAAGTTATCAATGCTTTCTATCTCGCTTTATTTTCCTTTTCTTCTTTTTTGTTGCTGTTTAATGAAAATTTACCTTTTTTTATGCTGAATTTCTTATTTGCCAACTTCACGCTCTGCTAATATCCACCAGACCGAAATAATTTTATGCAACATACTCACACACACACACTTAGTTGGAGTCGTCGCACATGCGCCGGCGATTGCAATTTTCCAAGTCAGCTCTGCATCCAGGCAGCAGTTGCTGCTGTTGCTGCCGCTGCTTCCTCTACAATTTGGCGGCTGCGCAGCAACAAGCAAAGCTCAGCTCTAGAATTGATTGTTGCTGCTGCTGCTGCTGTTGCTAGTTGCACATTTTAATTAAATTCGCATTAATTTTGTGCTGCTCCCCAAGTTGGAAAAACTTTGAAAACTCATTTCTTCTGGCCTTCGTCTCAACGGCTGGCATCTGCAGTCGACCTTTGCGGTTTGCCGTACCCAGCCCTAAGTTCTTATTGTTGTTGTTGTTGTTGTAATTATTGTTGCGTTGCGGTTCATGACGTTTGCGTCTGTAACGCGACTAAGTGCGCCCAACAAGATACCCGACATCCAACAATATGAGAGTATATATATAGTATATATATATCTGTGTGTGTGTGTCTACACCGCCCCCGCCCTCGCTTTTTTATTGTCTTTTACTCGTCTTTGCTTTGTTTCAGCGCGGTCGCAATTAGATTTTTAATTCATGTTTTGCTGCTGCTGCTGCCGCTGCTGCTGTTGCTGCTGCGTCTTCTTTGGCTTCCGTCATGCCTGTCGCACACAGCGAGAAACGGGGCAGCGGCGAGGGCGCGGCTGAGGCAGAGGTAGCCCTTCTTCTCCTCTCTTCTTCAGCTTCTTCTTTTTTTGTTTGAAATCAGAAATCAGCTGCAATCAGCTGTTCTGGCTGCTGCCCCTCTTAGAGTCTCGTGCTCTCTTTGCCTCTGTCTCTGCCGCTTCTCCAGTCTCAATTTGTGTTTATTTACTTTTAGCTGCTGCCCGCCGCACGCCCGCCTTGCCAATTGTTCCTTTCAGCTTCATCAATGAATGGGGGGAACTGTGTGCCGCGGCGCACAGGATATTTACTTTTTCGTTTTGAGATTGATTTATTTTGCCAGCTTTGGGCTTCAGCTTTTGTTGGGCTCTTTGTTTGCAAGCGCAGCGAAAAATTTGCATCTGCCTTTTCAATTCCCCACATTTCTCTTCCATTATAGAGGCTCAATTTCGTTTCCCCAACTGCTGATTGGCAAATGTCTTAACAGCTACTTCATGCACCAAATGCATACATAATCCATAGCGTTACGCCCACGCCCTGTGAACAGCATTCAGTTTGCGTCTCAGCATTTGCATATCAATGGACACAAATCAAAAGCTGGCCATAAAATCGAAGCCAATCAATGTCAGCGCCAAACGCAGATCTAACACAATGAAGAAATTAAAAGACCAAAATAAAAGAGCCACAAAAACCATAAACCGTTTACAAGGAGCTGCTGCGACCAACTGATTCCACAACTGGCAGACGCGAACCGGTTCGAGGCGCGCCAGTCATACGCACCGTGCGCCGCATAGAGCCGGAGCCGAGCTCTCCGGTCCGCGCTGCTCTGCTTGAAACTGATTAAATGCATTCGAACTCGTCTGAATCGGTATTTTCATGAATTAACTGGTCAATATTATTGTCCAATTTGCACCCACGCAACATCTCCATTTCTCACCATTAGCCGCCACAGCAGCCCAAATCTGACTTTAAATATAAAACCCCCCAACAACAGCAACAAAAAGGCCATGTGAAAAATAAATAAAAAAATATATAAATGTTTCATTCTTTCGCTCGCTGTGGCTGCTATTGTTTTTGGCATTGGGCTATTATAGTTGAAATTTTGGTTCTTTATCTTTATTTATGTGACTACTGTTGTTGCTGTTGCTGCTGCTGCTGTTGTTGTTGTTGCTGAGGTGTTAAGTAAATTAGCTGCTCATAAAACATCATTTGCTTTTGTGTGCTCGTCGTTACCACCAGCAGCAGCAGCATCGATTGTTGTTGTTGCTACTGCTGCTGCTGCTTCTGGTTGTTTGTTTTGGTTAAAAGCGGAGACAAACTGGCAGTGCTCGAAATGCTGCCAAGCGTAGACCAGAAGCATTCGGAACAGCAGCAAAAGCAAAGCGACGACAGCAACACCTTCAATCAGTGCAGCCCGCAATGACACCTTCCTCTATCTATTTACAATATTATATAATATACGAATGCAACATTGAAAATCAATTTGCGGTTTTATGTTTTGTCACAGCGCCAACGCCAATCCAACTGGCAAGCATATACATTTCAATAGCTAGACAAGATATATTGTAGCTTTTGCTCAAACCTTGACTGTGAGTTTCCACTTACACAAGCCGTGTGGAAAACTCTGATAGCTACTCTGGTTGCACTTGTCGCCATAGAATGTTTAGCAAGCGATTGCACAAGCGGAAAACGATTTAACAGCGACAGCAGCAGCAGCGGCAGCAGCAGCAACTATTTATTTAGGTCAACGCCTACGTTGCAGAGAGACAAACTTAGTCAACGGCACCCACAATTCATCATAGCTGGTGCGTCTGGCTACCTGGTCAGAAGGCTTTTTTTCTTGGCGCTGCTCATTTAGCGTCACGCCAGAGAAGATCCAACAGCAGCAACCAGAGCAACAACAACAACTGCGACGGCTCTTCGAGTTTTCGTTTTTGGTAATTAAGTATGAATGCCGGCGCTAGACGCAGCTAAAACCAAATGAACAACTAGCGAGGGCTGCCAAGGAGGGGGCTGCGATATGAGATTTGCTGCGGGGGTACCAGCTAAGGGGGCCCCATTGGTAGCGGTACCTAGGGGCCGTTTGGCATGCGGGAAATAGAAAATTATAACGAAATGAAATGAAATTTTCAAATGGCATCGCATGCTGCTGCTGCTGCTGCTCGCCACTCGCCACTCGCCAATGCCCCACGCCAGCAACAGTCGCCAGCCGTTTATGAGTTTTACGCTATTTCTGGCCCCGCCGACAGCAGCAGCAGCAACACTAACAACAGTCACAGCTGAAAAGCATTTCGAGTATAGGAAGATGTCGATGTCGATGTCGTCGCCATCGTCATCAGCCGCCGACGCCGCCGCCGCCGTCGCCGCCTTGCCAAAAATATTATGCTTGTTAGAGCC